GGACCCCAACCATATAGTTTGCATTGTTGCTTATGGTAGTCAGAAGACTGCATTTTGTCAGCGTTTTCACCAAATAGAACTATGTCATCGGCATATTCTAAGTCAATAAGCGAGCTAGCAGGTAAAAGGTCTACTCCTGAAAAATCTGACGAGCTTAATGTTAACTCTAACAGGATGTCTACGACAAAGTTAAACAAGAATGGAGAAAGTGGACATCCCTGACGGACGCCACTTGATGTAGAGAATTCCGGTGACAGTTCGCCATATGCTCTCACTCGACCAGTGGTGTTCGAGTAGAGAGCTTGTATAAGGTTAATGTACTTTTCTGGTACACCTTTCAATGACAGTCATTGCAACAGAACCTCACGATCCACTGAGTCGAATGCCGCCTTAAGATCCAGGAAAACAACTATTGTAGGACATCTAAATGTGTCTGTGTTCCAGGACCTGTCGTAGCGTGAAGATGTGGTCTATACAGCCACGTCTAGGTCGAAAACCAGCCTGGTTTTCTCTAGTCTGCTCTTCACGAGCTTTCGTTAGGCGTCGAAGTATTATTGAGGCCAACATTTTAGATACTATATTAGTTAGACTTATTCCCCTGTGATTGTCACAAGAAGACTTCTGTCCTTTCTTATAGATTGGGACACTCAAGGATTGAGACCACTCGGATGGGATTATGTCCAGTTGCCAGATTCTACCTAAGATCTCAGTCAACCTAGCTACTTAAACTGGACCATCAACCTTAAACATCTCAGGGGTCAGTCTATCAGAACCTGCAGCTCGCCCTCGCTTCAGATTTCCTAACGCTTTCCCAACTTCATAAAGACTAGGGGGACGTACGTCGATTTTAAATTCAGGATGACTGGAGTTCGTGGGTAACCGAGGAGGGGCTTGAGGCCCATCGGTCGAATCTCATGTGTTGAGAATGGATAATAAGACCATCCTTTTCCGAAATAGTCTCACTCACATTCGGGTTCCTAATACCAGTTTCCTTGATGAGTCTGAATAGTTGCCTATCGCCGCTGCCTCTTCCTTCGCTTTTGCTTTCGCCACCCACCACTTTTCGCGGTCGTTACGTAGGCTTTTGATCAGTCTGCGCCTAAGCTGACTTCGCTCTTCGTCATGTTCAGAGCCAGGTGGGATGCGTTTTCGAGCATCCTTCAGATCGGGGATGCGACTGAAATCCGCGGCTTCATCCTAGCCTCATGGTTTACCTTACTAGCAAATATCACTGCTGTTTCCACAGCCTTCTTGATATCATTGCAACCTGCCTCCGGATGGGGATCGCTTACATGATCGCCTAACTGTTTTTCTAGTTCCTCCTGAAATATTTTCTTAGCTTGATTATCATTAGGTAAAGCCCTAGGACGTTTTATTGCGATACTTTTCTGGCGTCCAGTAAGGCGAAAACAAATAGGTATTCGCACTAGAGCATGATCTGAATCTAAACATGTGCCCCAGAACGAGCGGCAGTCCTCTATCGAACCCCTCCATCGGTAGCTGATTGCGATATTATCTAGTTGCGTCGAACGTTGAGATGACTTCGGCGGTCGCCAGGTCAAAAGATGTTTTTCCTTACGCTTAAAATTAGTGTTTGCTAGGAATAGGCGGTTGTCTGAGCATACTTGCAACAGACGGTCACCATTATCTGTTCTCTGAGCCGCGACACCATAACATCCACCAAGGTGTCTCTCCTGCTCACTTAGTCTACCTACTTGAGCATTAAAGTCACCAGCCATTAATACTATATCAGAGCGCCTAGCTTTTTGGAGGAGGTCCGAAAGCTTTCTGTAAAACTCATCTTTAACCTCGTCTGAACTGCAGTCAGTGGGGACATAGGCAGATGCGACGAAAAGGCAACGGCGAGTGTCCTTATCCTTCTGAGTCCTTACTGTCCCGTTTAGTCGGACAGAACACAAGCGACTATCTACTGGGATCCAGTCTAGGAGAGATTGTTCAGCTCTACGACTCAATGCTATACCTACGCCAGCAAGACCCTTGGAAGCAGCATCAGGGCCTCCAGATACACGAAGAGTAAAACGAGCTGCTTCTTTATTTTGACAAGGTGAAATCAGATTAATAATTTTACTAGGATCCTGTATGCGCGTTTCCGAGACGCAGCATATATTCGATGGCACGAGATACTTGAGTCCTAGCTAAGGAAGCTTGTTGCCCTATTTGACACAATGTCCGTACATTAAAAGCCCCAACATGTAGTCTAGAACGGGGTTTCAAGAGACCAGGAATGACGTTTCGTGAACTTGCTTCGTTTGCATTAGCTGTGCAGTGAGGTAAGGGAATGTGAGTAGAGATAGTCGTGGAGATAAGAGGTACGTGTGGGTGTAGGGAGTATTTGATTTCGAACAATTTGGTCTCGTGTGCTGGAACGGGTATGAGGGCGGTTGTCACTTCCCGGCTGCCCACACCGTGGAAGCTTGTTTCTTGAGGGACCTGAAAAGGAAAATAAATTAGTGTTGGTCTTAGAGACCTGGGAACGTGACCGCAGAGTCCAAGGGACAACTGCTTGAGGCCGGTCACGCACGGCCTTTTTATGAAACGTTTTTAGAGGATTAGCTCCGTTCTTAAAGGCCCTTAGTGGGCACCCTTACCCAAGGAGACGGGGATTCGTGAGGTAGGGTGAGGTGTGACATTCTTAGGGTCGACCTTTTCTAACTCTTCCTTCCTTGTGAGAAGGCAGCATCGCTGCAGATGCTGGTTGTCCGAGGGAAACACCTTACTGCTATCAAACCCATCTTCAGTCAGCAGTACGACTTCACCCTCAGACCTTGGGTAGCTGCTTTTAGTCTCATCGTTCTCCAATCGACCTGCATGGCATGGTAGAACCTTCAGGAACATAAGTTCCAGCCAACATAGCTCGGTTGGGTCATCACGATAGGCAAGCCCGACCACCACGTCAAGGTGCAGCTACAGTCGGGACGTTTGGATGATGAATATTACTTCCAAAACATGAAGTCTTTACAAAACTAACTAATTTGAAAGTACTCTAAGGAGTCATTGCAGCGTAGTGTCCTGAAGATTCCGAGGGGAGAAGCCAGTTTACATTAGTCATTCTATTGTATGAGCGGAGGAAAGATTTAACCCAATTTGGATGTTAATAACCACTGAAGAAGTTTAATTTCATAGGGTTGAAAAGCTTAAGGATAGTGTTTGAGTAGTTGTGAGCTCTTTTATGAGATGAACATAATCCGAAACTTCGTAGTTCCCGTAATACGTCATTGCGAGATCCGTGTCCGTAGGAGAATATGCTCTTACATACGCATCACTGCCTACATTTCATTTAGTCTTTACCAAATATAGCTAACAGTTTAATCTTTACTTCTGCAGTAAAGGGCAGCAATGAACTTAAGGACGTCGTTATAATTTTATCTAAGTAGTTGGAGGGAAAGAGAACTCAGGTATCTTACGAAGGTAGCATGTCAGAAAATCACCATGGACAGAAACTCCCGTACCTGTCCAAGTAAGCAAAAGTAAATTGATAATTTATGGGCATCAAAGAATATATTTTCAACTAACTGATCGGTCGATAACTTAAGAGATCGTTCATATCTGGATTATCCACAGGAGCGGTTACTCAAAGAGCATAAATTGGAGCAAAGATTTGTACACTTTTTGCACACATCACATCTACCAACAAACATATCAAAAAATCACAATTATTTACTACATTCAGGAAGTGTGACTACTGAAGTTTGGCTTAGTGTAGGACTGAAACCGTTCAGCTTTAAAAATCGAGATATTTCTTTCTTACTGAAAACCACATGGTTTAATGGTAAAACAAATGGTGAGACAGTGAACGTCAGAGCCAATAAGGTACAAGCTAGTGAGATCAGAAGAGATATGGGTGAAGAAACTTGTGACCTAAGGAAAGGCACAATGGGTCGACTTGAGATATTGCGAACGAATCCGAGTTATTTCACCTAGTATCTAATCACCCGAACCATAACCCGCCAATTTGCATCTGCCTACACGGCTTAGTCCAACAGTCACTCTCCTGGTTAGACTACCTTTAGCTTCCTACCTATTAACACCAACCATCATCAATTGCCGTAATCGGTGAGTGAGCACAGGCAGTAGACGCTATCCATCCAGTCAAAAGCACCCGCTACTTCTTCAACCTACACCTCATCTCTGAATTGCTGGTTATATATGGACCTTGTTTAATATTTTGTTAGTCCCTTTCATGCCCCGAGCATGTACAATCACGCTGCTGCCAGAAAAGATAATACTAGTCAATAAGCCGACTACCATCTTGAAAAGGCCAGAGTACAGTCAGCTTTATAGAGTATTACTAACTGAATTCTAAACGTAGACATTATCTTAGTCTGTAAGACCTCAAAAAATAAAGTACGGGAAATCACTCAATAAATAGCTCCGCACAGTGTTCCTGTTTGCCGAACTAATCAATCAATGGGTATGTCACGTGAACTGTGACGAGACATACAACACTACTTGAGTGTCTACCCGAGTAGCATGTTATCTCCATGTCAGTAAAACCAAGGAATAACAAGGTTAGATACGCCACTTGCTTCGGAGCGCAATTTAATTTTCCAAAAATGCAAAATCCTGATTAGTAAGCCACTTCGAGGATGAGGAACACTATCAATAAGTCATACACCACAAACCAAGACGTGACATTTGACCAGACTCATCACTGATCATGGAGGTTAACTTAGTTCTCAGAACAGTCCATCAATTAAGATCAAATTACTGATAAAAACCGCTTGATTTAGCTAGGTCGGTTACGTAGTTACCTAGGAAACAACCACAGGTTAATTTACCAATTAATTTCAGCTGGTAACAAATGGGTACGGAAATGTCACAGGGGGATGATTGTTCATTTGAGAGCCGTATAGCTACATTTTTAACCGAATGTTTACAAAAGCGAATCCTAAATTTGTAAATGATAATCCGAAATATCAAATTATTTCCTGCGGATGGCATAAATCCTGCCCACGCCACTCAAAAAAAGTGCATTTTTTAATAAAGCGATAGATCTTTTAGAATAAAAATTAACAGTATGATAGTGATTGTGATGAATGAGAATGCACAAAATCAAGTCTAACTCCAAAGCTTTGAATACAAAAGACTGAACAGCATAAAAAACCTCTTGATCCAGAAATGGCGCGACTTTCACATGTAAAAACGAACATGTGTCACTATTTAGTGAATAGCCTTCTCAGCTGCAATGTCTAAAATAAAGAAAGAAAGCGTTTTAGTATATCGTATCGCATAACGTCCTAGTCGAAGTACGTCAATAAAAAAATAACAGATAGAATAATTTTACCTTCTTTGGTAGGAAGCGGGTTTTTTTCTAGAGTTGAAGTAGGTTTCAAAGAATGTGGCGTCCCGATTTCCTGTAGAAGTTGCTTCTCGGTTTTCTCCTTTTCGATAACTGCAAAAGACAATCAGAGCCGACTTAATTTTCGACAACTAATATTATATTGCTTTGGTTTCTAATGAAAACACTTTGAATAAAAAAGGTGCAACCACAATCATAACACAAACTAGTACATAGGTATTAACGTACCAACGTAGTCCAGACCATCAAGCGCTCATAAGCACTGATATATGCGCTTAAATTCGCATTTTGAAGAGGCATGGTGTTATATCAGTGGGCAAATAGCCCAGAGCGGTAACTGATGGTCCAAAACAAAGCACAGCTGATTAGTCGCGTTGCATCTTTCAACTACGGGGTTGGCATTTATGATCGTCCACAATTCTTGGGACTGGGATTTCTAAGTAGCCATTTAACCCTGTGGACGATACTTCTCGATAGCTAGTGAGGTGGAGCAGTTCCAGTTAGACAACAATAACGCCAACTGGTAGGTACCACATGAAAGACCACATTTAGAGATAACCGACCAGTTCCTATCCATCATCTGAACTAAGTCACATGAATAAATGGAAACACATGTAGGTTAATGGCCATGCAGCTAAATACAACAAGAACTACAAGTACATCCATGACAAAAGTTGGTATGAGGAAAAAACTGGCTGGACGTTCTACACTTTGAAATGGTGCATACGAACGAACCTGAGGTTTGAAACCTACTGATACTCAGCAGCTGCCAGTTGTAAAATGACCTCATAAGAGCAACGATGTACCCAATGAGCACTTACACGGTGACACGGAAACTAATCACAGAACACTGGAGTTAAAACTTGAATCTTCTCTTCAAGAACAATTATATTCGACTGAAGTTTAACGACTAAGTGAATTTGCCGAATCATTAGACCAAAACATGAGTAAACAATTTCTAACTAAAAGGACATGTATTACTCTAGCCGTCGATCGATGAGGAAGATATCAAGGGTTCCACACATAGAAACCTGAATACATGAGCAGACTACGGTCTTTAAAAAGAGCTAACTTCTAGTTCTTACCTTCCTTGTCTGGCAAGACAACTTTCTCTTCAGTTTCAACATGACGTAACTTCTGCTTGTCAAAACCGTCGATATCCTCCAACACTTTGCCTGCGTCAGCCATTATTTGCGATTTGAATCTGATTATGAGACTGACAATATAACCTTCTAGTGCAGTAGAACAAATCGTTCGATGCAATGCTCAATCTTTTCGACCTGTGCATTTTAGCTGTTAAATAGCAAAACATCAGTGCTTTGTTTCCAAATTTACATGTTCGGGTTTGGTGAATATCTGTATTGGCCTTGAACTATATGGGTGATGTTGGTCGATTCATGTTCGTCAACCCTTCCGCCCAACAAAAAAACTTTGGCCGACCAGCCCCTAGAGCGCAGCCGCTACGTATCAAAAGTGCAAACACTTTCTAGGGGGGGGGCTCCTGTAGTGGAACTATTTTATAAAGAAAACATGATCTCTGTAAATTAGCTACCAGTTGTACATATATGGTTGTGGAGATGGTTAAATTTCATTGAAAACCGAAACCGATCCAAGTTAGACCACAAATGGCTAGAATGCAGTAGACATTAGCTTGTTGAAGTGGTTGTTGTCTGTGTATCCCCTAAAAGTCTTACTACAAAATCATTGCAATCTTAAGCACAGTGGTTCTTTTGATGTACATTTTTATTGTTCACATAATGGACTGATTCTAGTTTATAAACCCATGAATCACAGGAAGCATAAGCTAACTAGTTCATTCTAGGACGAAACTTCTCAGAAACGATCATCTAGGACACTACGGAAGACAGATTTCATGTTACGTGGAGAACCATTAATTTCCATACGATTGAATCATGTACCGCGACGAAGCCGCTTGTAGTGGAATCATTTAACGAAGAAAACATAATTACTGACATACAAATACTTATTATTGAACATGTATAACAACAACTGTTTTATTGTACAGATTTTATTTATCTGTACTAAAAGCCATAACTCAAGCACCAACCTTGACAATCCTGTGGCTGAATTGATCGTTCTTGTTATTTCGCTGAATGGCTGAACACGTGATATCATTTTGATATCACGCGACTTCTAAGCAATAAATATCGTTATTCTACAGCGCGAATAATAATAATAATTTATTCTCAAATAACAAACATGTTACAAAAAACATGCCAATTTACAGGCAAGATCCTGGTTTTGATTCGTTTGGGAGTTTTCACCTTGCAATCATCCCAACAAATACATTGGTGATTCCGTTGTTTGGAATACGCAACGAATTTTGGCCAAATTTACACTAAACGAGTCAAATTCAGTGAGTCTGTGATTTTCCTATCCATTTTTCATAATATTTAATCTGTTGCTTAAATTTGTACGCTTATGTATATATAAAAGACTAGCAACAGCCAGGAATCATAAATAACGATGAATAGTTTCAGAGCTGACGGTTTTAAGACTCCCAGCTCCTGGTCATCAATTTCCGACCTGTTCCATTTATTCCCCACGATCCAGAAGTCTGGTTCGCGACACTGGAGACTCAGTTCGAGATCTGCCGCATTACGAACCAGCGGCAAATGTATGCCTATGCCCTGGAATCTCTACCTGGGGATCACATAGCTGTTGTTCATGAAGTGGTCCTCGATTCTAATGTGCCAGATGTCTATAATCGTCTCAAGCGGGCGATTCTTCAACATTTCCTCCCGTCGCGGGAGGAACGCCTGAGGACGCTTTTAGCCACCACATCACGCGCCTGCAATCATTAGCAGGACCAACAGCATTGTGGCTAGAATCGCTACCAGCTCATGTTCAGCTTTCGATCGCCGCTCTGCCACACGACATGCGGCTTACCCAGGTTGCACTTGTGGCAGACAGAGTAACCGCGCGAACTGGTAACCCAGACAACAACACAGTTGCTTCCACGTCATATACCGACGTGGATCTCGACGCCAATCATATTAAGGCTCAAAAGGATAGAGGTTGCTATATTCACAGCCGCCTCGGTTTCCGAGATCGTTCCAGTGTACATGAAACCCACGTCCAACGACCCCGAAAGGCCGCAAGTACTCGCCCCCAGCGGGCATTTTTGAAGCCACGCCAACAGGCGGCTTTGGAAGCGAGTACTGGTTGATACTGGTTCCAGCTAGCCTTTCGGTCATGCGCCCGTCATTGTCGAGCTCCCTGCTCATACAAGGCAGGAAACTCCCGAGCCGGTGAGTAAACGCGGCCCTACTCTCCGGCCACTCACCTCAGGTTGACCGCTTATTTAACGTGCACGCTATCCGCACGAATGCTTAGTACCTCGTCAACTCAGGTGCTCAAGTTTTTGTTGTACCATTAGGTAGCAGCAAGTCACAACCTACAATGATTCGATTACGTTCTGCGAATGGCTCTGCCATTCCTACCTATGGTGAATGACAGCTAACGGTCAACCTGAGCAACCGACGACAGTATCTAAGGACGTTCATCATTGTTGATGTTCCCACAGCCATACTCAGTATCGGTTTCCTACTGCTAGTCGATTCACGTAGGTTGCGGCTAATCGATTCTTTGTCGAACGGAAAATCTATGGGCTTTCGAACTCAAACAAATGCGTACCGTATAACAGGTTTAGTTCATTCGCGTGATGACATATTCCACGCTTTACTCGAAAAATTCCCCCAGATAAATTAACCACTCGAGGAGACTCCATCGTTGACCTGGCATGTGGTTCACCACATCGTCACCCGCAGGACATCAGTCACGGCAAAGCCTCGTTAACTGGCACTGGACAAGTTAGCTTTCGCTAAGCGTGAGTTTGACAATTTACTAGCTACTGGTATTATTCATCCTTCTCATAGTCCATGAGCCTTACCACTCTACATGGTTCGCAAAAATGATGGGATTAGTTGGCGACCATGTGGCGACTACCGAGCATTAAATGTAGTCACACGTTTCGATAGCTATCTCATCCCCCACATACACAACATCTCAGCATCATTCAAGGGCACGACTGTCTATTCTAAGATTGGTCTGGTACGAGCATATCATCAGATCCCAGTCACTCTTGAGGATATTGAGAAAACCGCTATCACGACTCCTTTCCGTCTGTTTGAGTTCCTACGAATGCCATTTGGATTATGGAATGCTGTTCAAACTTTCCAAAGCTTCATCGATAGCATAGTACGAGACTTTGCTTTTGCTGACGTCTATATTGATGACCTGTTAATCGCATCATCAAACGTAGATGAACACTATCAACATCTTACACTCTTACTCCAACGTCTCTCGGATAATGGAATAATAAACAACCCAGAGAAGTGCGAACTCTGCAAAGGAGAAATAAAATTACTGGGTCACGTTATTATGCATGAGGGTATTCTACCTTGTGAAGATAAAGTACGTACAATCATGGAGTAGACTGTACTATCTTTACTCAAAGAACTGAAGGCTTTTCTCGGTTTGATCAACTTCTACCGACGTTTCATTCCTCACGCCGCACAACAGTTACGACCACTAACCGACTTACTTCGCGGTAATCCACGTAGACTAGGATTGAACGACGCCGCGCTTACTGCATTTTTCTGGGATAAAAAAGCTTTCGATCAAGTCACGCTCCTCGCCCATCCCTATCCATCAGCCACGCTGAGTATAGCGATTGATGCATCCGATTTCGCTATAGGAACCGTTATGCAACATCTCTGGGAGTTGGCAACCTCTCGAATTTTTCTCACGACGCCTTACTCCCACGGAGACGAGATATAGCGCTTTTGTTCGCGAACTGCTAGCAGCCTACTGTGCCGTCAAACATTTCCGGCACGCAGTAGAAGGTCGTAACTTTATTCTTTTTACAAACCACAAGCCTCTAACGTAGACTCTTCATACCAAGTCTGATCGCTATTCACCACGAGAGTGCAGACATCAAGACTATATCTCTCAGTTCACGACGGACCTTCGTCATATTAAAGGCGAGTCGAACTACGTTGCCGATGTTTTGTCACGTATTCAAGTGAATGTAGTTACTTTACCGGTGCTCGATCTTCCTGCTATGGCCGCCACCCAAGCAAATGATCCCTCTTGTTCAGAAGCACAACAAACTGTTTCCTTTCAGTGTCAGGAAGTGCCCTTAGCTACTAGCTCAGGCACTACCCTATGTGATACCTCTATTGGACTACCCCGACCCATCGTACCCTCTGCTTATCGTCATCTCGTCTTCGTTCCGCTCATGGTTTGTCTCATCCAGGAATCGCAGCCATATCACGTCTCATCGCTGCACGATACCTCTGGCCTTCTATGAACAAAGATGTCCGCATGTGAGTAAAGCAATGCTTAAAACGTCAACGATCAAAAATGCACAGGCACGTAGCCGTCCCCACTGGCACACTTGCCACTCCTGGTGCTCGCTTCGATCATGTTCATATTGACATTGTAGGATCATTGCCACCATCGCATGGGTATGGTCACATACTCACGTGCATCGATCGTTTCATAAGATGGCCTGAAGCTATTCCCATCACTTCTACTACGGCTCAGCGCTTCGTAGAACGATGAATAGCTCTTTACGGTTGTCCCTTGACTGTCACAACTGACCGAGGACAACAATTCGAGTCCGAACTATTCTCCTCGCTAACCGAGTAGCTTGGTACGGAGAGCATAACTACTACCGCATACCACCCAACTTCAAATGGTTAAGTTGAAAGGTTTGATCGCAAACTCAAAAATGCTCTTTGAGCACACGAAAACAACAATTGGTACGGAACCTTACCGCTCGTATTTCTAGGCATCACAAGGAGCTTAAAGCCAGATATTCAGTGTTCCGCCGCTGAATTGGAATACGGCATGACATTGTGTGTGCCTGGGGAATTTTTCACACCACGGAGCAGTGATAACTTCAATAAATCGGACTACGTCCAATGATTGTCTGATTTTATGTTCTCTCTCGAGAGTTATCTACCCGTTCGCATGTTTTCATTCGGGTCGATTCGGTAGGCAAACCTCTGCAACAACCATACTAAGGAAATTTTCACGTGATTACTCGTCACGAGGCTATTGTCTCGCGTTCCGGTCGCCGCATACGCCTACCTGTACGCTCTCTCGACTAACGACCAATCAGCTACGGGTACGGCATAGGACTCTACCCTCATACTAGATGCGTGCTACACTTTTCTCCCTATTTTTGATTTTTTTATCTTGAGCCCATACCTCCGCCCCATTACCCTGTTGGTACCGTCGATTTCAGTCAACCTTGGTGAAAGCTGCCCTGATCAACCACGCTCTTGTCAATGCACTCAGTCGATTTTCTGGTTACGAATATATCTGGGATACGAATGATTTCGCGCTGGTCGTTATTATTGCTTCTGGCTCCTTCACTAAATCTGGTTCTGTCCGACTTCTGCAGCTTTATACGGCCCGAACCACGACGAGCGCAATTTTCAGACAATGGATGGTGGTGTGGCATACCAATCGGATAGTCAAACTTGGCACGTAATTATTGGCACGACAGCGGAAAAACCTCTCGGCGATAACTCCTTCGGCATTGGTCGTTTCCTGTTCGTCAACCCTTCCGCCCAACAAAAAAACTTTGGCCGACCAGCCCCTCGAGCGCAGCCGCTACGTATCGAAAGTGCAAACACTTTCTAGGGGGGGGGGCTCCTGTAGTGGAACTATTTTATAAAGAAAACATGATCTCTGTAAATTAGCTACCAGTTGTACATATATGGTTGTGAAGATGGTTAAATTTCATTGAAAACCGAAACCGATCCAAGTTAGACCACAAATGGCTAGAATGCAGTAGACATTAGCTTGTTGAAGTGGTTGTTGTCTGTGTATCCCCTAAAAGTCTTACTACAAAATCATTGCAATCTTAAGCACAGTGGTTCTTTTGATGTACATTTTTATTGTTCACATAATGGACTGATTCTAGTTTATAAACCCATGAATCACAGGAAGCATAAGCTAACTAGTTCATTCTAGGATGAAACTTCTCAGAAACGATCATCTAGGACACTACGGAAGACAGATTTCATGTTACGTGGAGAACCATTAATTTCCATACGATTGAATCATGTACCGGGACGAAGCAGCTTTTTGATGTTTCCTGACTATTAATGTTTCTCTAGCCACGATTAGTCCATCATGTAAACAATGATATTTACTAATCTCCATAAATCCATTTTTGTAATAATTCGCAATATTGCAAAGCAATAACACAGCAATGATGTTAGACAATTTCTGTTGAGGTTGAAGATACACACTATTCTAAGTCGCTCAGAGACCGCGGAATAATATTCAAAATATGTATTCGCAGTATTTTGTTTAAGCAACACTTAATAATTTACTTATAATAAAACTTAAAAATCAGTTCCATTTTGAAATATCATGTAAATAATTCTAATATATAATCAACATTCCTCATTGTTATACCATAAATAAAAATCTGATCCTACCATCAATTTAAATGTTAGAAATATTATGTTTAAATTTTATAGTATTTTAAATTTTGATTTATAATTGACAGCTAAACGAGTTTCGACAAAATGTTCATATTAACATTTTGATAATTCGGTTGCCCAAGGGTAAACAATTTCAATTCTATAATCAAAACCGAATTAATAATATTCACTAGTAATGATGACTGAAGTTAAAAGTGAGCTGTCAGAATAGGAGTTCATCTAACAAGCTATCGGTTGAAGAACTAGAAAACACTGAGAAAAGAATTTGTTTTATGACATGAAAACATCTCATTTGACAGAGGTAAAGTCTTATGTTCAGGGTCAACTCTTGTAGGAATATTTTTTTAAATATGCACTTATTTAAACCAGTATAGAAACTACTTTGTCTAGAGATAATTGTTTGCTAACTTATCGATGACTAACCAACTTACTTACTTAGGATATTTCAAATTAGAGTTATGGAGATGAGTGTTTTTACACATTTGGAATCATCAATCAATCATTGTTAGACCACCATTATGAGCCTGGAAGCACTGGACGGCCGTTTCGTCCTGGTATGGGATGAATCAGAGTTAGACATTAACACAGTTGGATGGCGGCTGAGTGGTCCAGAGGTTAGGCGTTCGCGCACAATTCCGAAGGTCCCGAGTTCGAATTCTGCGAGATGCAGGGGTCGTGGGTGCGCACTACTGATGATTTCTTTACTTTAACGTTGTTACTCGTGCACGTGAACATGTCTTTTGAGATGCTTGAACTATTACGAGTTTACCTTGATGGGCAAACGAGAGCGATGATCGAGGATCTGTCGACAGTACATGCTACTCTAATGCGATTGTCTAAAGTCCCATTAATTGAAAGACGAAAACTTGATGTGAAGTAGAACATGTATCACACAAGCATCCAGAAAGTTTAAGGTCTGAGTCCGAAGGTGAATCAGGGATCCGGACCCGGGTCAAAAAGGGCTACAGATAATACGTACTTATTGATTTAGTTTGAATATGAAACAGCATCAAAGTCGGTGGCATTGACAGTTAAGGTGATCAATAGGAATCGACATTTGGAGTGACAAACTCTCAGGACGAACAATAAGAAACAACATTAAAGTACATGACATTGATATCTAGGACGACCATAAAATTTAACAGTAGTAATTAACTAATAGGAATCGACCAACTGAATTAGACTTACAAGTAATTCTCCTAGGATATTGGATGAATATCCCGACAAACGTCGTCATTCTAGTGGTCGGTAAGTGCATAGCATTGGGTAACGTTCATTGCAGTTTACTCTTTCTTTGTTCTGAAGGATGCTTTAATGATCATGGGTCCATACGATTGCCATGCCATCAGTTCTTTTTGTGCTGGTTTGGACAGGATCGATGCAAGTCTTTGAGTGAATGAGGCATTTTCTTCTTCATGGTCGAAGTGAAACATCAGATCTCCTAAAGCCGCTCTCAGTTATTCACCCTGCACCCAATGTTTTTCACTGATTCCATGCTCATCCAGCTTGTATCTTTTCGTCTCTGCAGCAATTTGAAATAGTCTTCTGGTCTCCCACATTGTTCGAACGGTTGGCCTAGTTGTCAGAAGGAGGGTCGGCCACGTGACTTCCAAGGAAACTCGGCTTTCACCATTGGACGTTATAACTCGTTTGAATGGAGATCTTTTAAGTCCCAGGGCACAGTTAAAATGGCCCGAATAATTTTTTATAGCTGGCACTTTCTTAGCAAGTTAGTTTTTTTATGGGATGGGGTCGCCAGCTCCATGCACAACCCTCTTTCTTTATCCGAGCTTAGGACCGTCAATAGCCCTCGAGGCATTCCAGTCCAAATACTTCAATATAAATGGCAGAATTAAGTGATATATCCTAACCTTACTTTACTGTTTCCCCAAAGTTAATCAAACAAATTCTTCCATATCATATAAAACAATAGGAAACAAAGCAAAGATATTAAATCTCGAATTTGAGTTTTTTGTGCAATTTATTTCATAAGGAGAAATGAAATCTAGTTACGGGAGCTGTATATACTCATTGTTAGTTTAGGCTTGAGAGTAGAAGTCTGAAGGTCAGATTTTGAGTGGGTACTCGAAAGTTGCTGGTTTTGCGGTTGTGTTGGCTTGTCATTTGGTGAGTCATTAGTATGCTTATGCACTTTTCGAGAAATGTAGATTTATACTTTTAATATGTGATTATAGACAGTCGTTTGATAGCCATATTGATGACGTTCTATCATCCCTAATTTCATACCTATGTTAAACGTTTCGTATAATAATGGTGGCTAAAGTACCTTCATAAACACTTATGTCACACTAGGTGAGGATTGACTTAGTGTAGTGTGTATTCATTTTATTTGAACATAATGTCACTCGTTTTTAATATGGTCTTCTTGATGCTCGGTTAATGATTTTTCAAATCTGTTGTAAATCGTTATATTTTCAACTGAGTTCACCATTTATCATCGTTTCTGGTTAGCAAATGTTTCTTCAATAATTAGGGTTCTGAAAATATGCCTATTATGGTCATCAATACTCGTTGGGGATTATCTGACGTAGCGATAGGATATCGCATCGCTTTGTGTTTTTACTAAATGCTGGGAACGAAATCCTGTGAAGTTTTTTAAGACTAGGTTTTTAGCTTTTGTGTAGTCTTTTCTGATAGATCTTTATTTTTGTAGAATATTCTAATTCCCTGTCATATGCTCATTACTTATCCCACATATTTGGTAAATATTTGTCAACATTAATACAGTATTCAATCCAAATACATGTTCAATGGATTCGAGATTGAAATTAATAGATGATAAAGAGAATAACGATGAGCTGTCACTATACGTTGAGCAAGCGATTCGTAGCAGTTCAGTAAGATGATTTGTGATTGTTAAATACTTTCTACTCTCTTAGATAATGTCCAAAGCTCCAATTGTACAATTTACAAATAAAGCTTATAGTCTGTAAGTATCCATTCATTCTAACATAACAACAGAGCACCATTTACTGGTGTTTACTATTATAAAGTTTGGGTGTCTGAAGAACCATCAAACAGATCACGCCATCAACCTTATAAAGTAGGTGCAGATCTACAAACATTTACTTCAGGTTGTCACAACAAATTCGATTCAGAAAGTTTATGTCACCACTATGCGTGTATGGCCCATTACGTTTTCTTTCAGACCACCAGTAACACCTATGGATTTCTGGATTCGAATAACACCACTGTTTTCGTATGGGGAAAAGTGTGGAGAGGTCGTCCAAAGGTATGAAAACTCTTCTTCTTGATTCTATGCTTCAGATGCAAAAAACATGAGACGCAGTCGTCATTTAGTAGCTACATGTTGAGGGGAAAATCGTTTGTCGAAGTTCTGGGAGGGAGTTCGGAGTATGTGTTAGGTAGCACTCTTTTGAACTGCCCACGTGATCAAATCACTGTTTGTACACCTATCGATCTACTCCAACTTCTTCATTCTAAATCAGAGGCTCCACCCAATACTTCTGATTCAGATATTTCCTTATTACCAGAAGTAAGAGGAGTTTTGTACTGTAGACTTAGCTGTTACAACAGTTGTTTTGGTTCAACAACTAGAAATGAAGTTGAATTGGTTATAACTCTCGAGGCGAAGAACAGGTGAGTTATTTTCAGTAAACAGCAGTTTTAGTTACAGACGATCAAAATCTGTCTTGTGTTGTACGTGCTATAATTGCACCCTGGTTTTAACAGCTTATGAAATTTGTTGTTGGCTATTCTTACCGCAAATCCCAGTCTATCAGAAAAGACAAAAGTCTTTTGTGACAATTATAGAGGAATCATTTTAATTAATAGTGTCTATCCGACCGTAGCTGCTACATTGACGTGGTGGTCGGGTTTGCCTATCTTGATGACCCAACCGAGCTATATTAGCTGGAACATATGTTCCTGTAGGTTCTTCCATGCTAGGTCGTTCGGAGAACGGCAAGACTAAAAGTAGCAACCCGAGGTCTGAGGACGAGGCCGTACTGCTGACATTAGAAGGGTATGACAGCAGTAAGGTGTTTCTGCAGCGATGCTTTCTTCTCACAAGGAACTATGAGGTTAGAAAAGGTCGACCCTAAAAAAGTCAAATCTTTTTAATTGTTGCTACACTATGTAATGAAAATGTATTATGCCTTTTAAAATAACATAGCTGACAGATAAAGAATTAATTCGGATTTACCTCAGCTGAAGCACTTTGCCAGAACTCATAAACAACATTACTGTTAGAATTGCATCCGCATGCAGTCCCGTATTTTGTGTTGCCTGTTAAACTACCATCGCACCAATCCAAATCATCAAATAGATATCCTAGTCGTAAACAAACAAAATGAATTGAATTAGTATTATCAGCACATTAATTAAGGTGATGAAAGTGTTAAACAATAAACAATCATTTTCAGGATAAGAGATTTCTATCATAAGCCATGTTAAATCACATATGCCATACCATGTATTCAATTCAGAAATAGAACCGACTTACGTGGTTTTAAATATTACTTCATTGATTATTAGGATCATCAGAAAATTAATGTGATAAAACGTCTGATTATTGACTTGCAGAAAAACGTGTTGATAATTCACAACATATATATATATATATATATATATATATATATATATACATATATATATATAAACCACGAACACAGTTTGGTTTAATGCGATGTTTCAAACTGCAAATGTGTTTAAAGCATCTTCGCTGTACATATAAAATATGCTGAATTGAATAACAAAAAATCGCATCATCAGTTTAGTTTAGTTCTTTGTTAAGATACGGTTTCGGACTTGTAAGATGACATCTCTAATGCTTTTATGATGAGTCATTCTGGAATTACGCAACAACCTTTGGCCGTTATTTGAAATCAAACAAAGTTATTGAGTCGGTTCAACAAGTTTCTAGGAAATCTAGTAACAGTTACCTGTCCCTAAAGATGAGTTGTGTGCCTGAAAAGTTGTTCTATCTCAAGGTGTCATGAAAACGTCTTCTAAAACACTAATAATGTTAAGAATTTAGTTATCCCTTACTGATTTGAGCTGTCAGGCATTCCTAATTTAATGAAATTATTCTGTCATAACTTCTTCATTAAAATGTCATTTGTAACTTTTGTTTGAATTAAGATCAGGTAATGCAAAGCTTTTAACACCAATGAAATTTATGGAGAACAACTTAGGTGGACTGACAAAACGTTTATCGCTATTTTTTGTATCTCAACATTATTGGTTAAATCACAGGTGTAATTGGTCATGTCAAATTCGAGGTCTTTAACAAATCAATTTAATTCTAATTATCTCAATAACCTACTTAAAAAGGGATTTACTTCACTTTTTTATGAAGGATGAAATAGGAAACTGCTGCAGGCTCGTTATTGGGTCCAATCTTATGTCGTATCCGATGGTGTCTAGGCCCATCGAATTACACATCCCTTGGGAATCCAAGCAAAAAGTCTTAGTGAACTAACAAATGCTAATTCTATACAGCTATCTTTTATACCATATCACCACGTTATGAAATGTTTTATTTAGTTTATTTACAGTTAATTTTTATCAAGGCAACTTCATAACTTCAAGCCGTATTAACAGTATTTGTAACTCATGACAAATATTTTGAATGTTACAGTGAATCGGTGAATCGAGAAAATTTCGTAATTCTTGGCCTTGCCAAAATACGTGTTCGTTGTTGCTCTTGTCCGACACGAGACGCAAAGTCTGATCACAAGCTTTTAGCCAATACTTCAGGATCGAGTTCTACTGGAATAAGTTCTAGGAGATTATCGCTTAGTTTATCTGATCATTCTAATATTCGAATAGTAAGTTATTCATATTATTCAATAAACTTGAACTATTAAATTTATCAAACTTTAGATACGTGGTTTTATAGAGGATATCAATTCATAATGGAAAGTAGCTTCTACAAAATCACACTCACTATTGGGGTTGGGTGGATAACGCACTGACGTTTGAAGCGAACAGCATGTTGTTCGAGTCTCGCAGTGGACATCAACTTTTAGATGCAGGTACATCCAGCTGACAAGTCCCAAATAGAACGAAACACCCGTCTTGGATTCGACTGCTAGCCAATATCCACCTCTGCTAATAGTTACTTAGTTTGCTTGGGAGGTGCATTTGTCCATATCAAATGACCATAAAGGTTTTCAGTCACCAGTTAACATGTAGGATACTAAGCTCTTCACTTTTTTTCGCGGTGCATTCTGTTCATTCCAGTCCTACCAACGCGTGTCATTTGAAGGATTAGGTTCACAGCATTTCTGATTGATCAGTTTCACTTTTATGTGTTCATAATTACGCAATTGAAGACATTTTAATTACTGGAGTGATCATTATTTCATTTTACATCCACGTTTTCTGTTTCATATGTATGTGTAAAGTTTGTTGAACCCTATGAACTACTAATACATATTTCTAGAGATAAAAGCAAATTTCACCGTATTCTTCCTATATTCAATCAGTTCTCACTAACCTATGCAATTGGTTGGTTCAACATAGCCTTTTGAATTTGTGTGTGCTTTAATAATCACTAAATAACAACAAACAGCTATCCCTAATATTCAGTAGTTTTCAGAGGTTCTTCAAGCGATTTGTTAGTCCTTCATGAGAAACTACCTCAGAGTTATATTTCTGTTATAACTTTGTTCAATAGGCTTTTATGCATCATGCTAACGAAAACAGTTGTAAGTTGTTTATCCATGTTCATATACTTGTTTTATTCTTTCAGAGTAGTGAAAGTTCAAATACACGAAATGGTTGTTCCAGTAAAATACGAAGAGTTGAAAGTGATGACTGTCAAGAGCCATATCCATCTATAATTCTCAACGGCATTAAATATTTCATTACCATGGTTCGTCTGGTGAAATTTCTTTATTGTTCTGTTTTTAGTCGAATAATATCCAATTTTTGTAAATCCTAAATAATAACAATTCTTAATTAAGTTATTTGAGATGTTTGTTTCTCAGTTTGACATTGTAACTGTCTAAAAGTCAGTCGGACAACGTAGGAATCCGTACGTACGTACGTCAGTTCAGGTTACCATACCGCATCAGCACAGATGTAGTGAATGAGGACGCAGGTGGGGCAACCGAATTGTATTTAACGAAAATTACAGAGTTACTCAGTAAAATCGGAAAACCATATCGTAAATCGTTCATTTGCAAAAGATCAGTTCATCCTATGGAACTGGACTGTTCCTGTTGCCAAACATCAATCCATTGTCACTATTCATGCGTTTGATACAAATTCCATTGTTTTCTAACTCTTCCTTTCTTGATCTTCCCCCCATATTATGCTACCAGACTTTACGTTGACACTCACGTTATATACTACTTATAAGTAGTTCGGACCACAGCACCACACAGAGACGCCACTGTAAGTTCAAGTCCCATAGTGGTGGAGATAGTAGAAGAATTATTGGTAATGGAGAATATTAGGGATCAAAGATATTTTTCAAGAAGTATTGTTCAGTGAAATAACTTTTGAAAGAGAAAGACAGATGAGGAATTCTGAAGATTAGGATTTCATCGAACACAACGAGTGGATGCACTTGCGTCTTAGCAAACGATTTTCAGCCATGTCATTCAAGGTCTTTAACCATCGGTGACTTTCGTCTTGCGGACCCCAACCAGGTAGTCTGCATCTACCAACATTACTCATTCCACTTGTCATTGACTTCATGGATTTGTACTGTGTTTTGGTTTGGCCGCCCCTAGCTTTCTTCCAACCTACTCCTACACTACAAAACATCGCTAGTCGAGGTAGCCGTTGGTTGTGCATTCGTAACACATGTCCTAAACACCTCAACTGATGAAGTTTCAATACTTCATCTATTGATTTGCTATCCCTACCTAGTATAATTATAGTAGCAATGATATTGAGATAGACTAAATAATAAAAGAATGTTTTTGAAAAGAGTGAATAAAAGATATTTGTGAAACAATAAGAAATTCACAATCTAGACAAAAATGAGGAGAGTGCATGGTAGCATCTATGTGTCTATCCATTTCTTGTATTTTTTAAAAATATGATTTGTGTAAAGTAAATCACGTTATTGTTCGGAGTCGGTTTACTACCGAATCTTTATGCTTTATAAAATTGTCAAATCGTTTATTAATTTGTCTGCAATTCCATATTCGCATGTCTGAACGGTATTAAATACAATTTATATTTGGCTTTTTATCATCTACATTGTATCAATCTAGTTTGTTGAGAGAATATGTACAAATTAAATAGTACGTGCATTTCATCAGTGTCATTTTGGAGTCAATATCCTGCACTCAAAACCTATTACATGTTGACAAAGTCTTAGTAATAAATTACTTTTGTAAAGGATTGATAATGGTTTATTGTCAGTTGAACAGTTCATAGTAAATTGGTCGATAACAAATACAAATCAAACAAGACCATTAAAGTGACTGATATTTGTTTAGTGAGATATGATCACTTATTTCGGTAAAGCATAAATGTCACTTTCTTACTTCATGTCTTCAACTCTCTGTCCTACTAACAGAGATGGCTATGAAAAAATTCTTGTTAATTAATACTTCTAGCTATGAAGTAGTTAAACGTTAAGTTCGTGGTTTCTTCAAACATTGTTTTCAATCCCATTCCATTTGTATGTAAATGAGTTGTATGCATTTTGTATAAATATTGCTTGCTTTCTAGTTTCCTTTCCGCTGAAAATATTTTCTTTTCTTGAATACTTGTAGACTGATGATCCAGAAGTAAAGTTGGCAAATACCAAACTGAGAGATTTATCAGCCTCTGTGTCTGAACGATGGAGACATTATCGTTCTCGACGTCGTGAACTGAAACATATTAAAAAGTTTTATCGAAATTTGGAACGTCGTGTTATTGAATGGTTTGTGTACATAAATTATAACTTTATTGGTTTTTATAAGTCCGAACTTGGGATTTAAAAGTAATGTTTGGGAATCTTTTTCGTGTACTCCAATTAGTAGTAGTAGTCTATGAAATTAAGTGAATGAAATCTGATTATAAAATTAGCTATCTAATTTAACTGCAAGAATAAAAAAAAAGTGTATTAGTATAGTACCTATTAAAGTTCGCAGTTCATTTCTGGGTTATTTCCAGTAGATTGTCAAATGATGGCTGTGATTTTTCTGAGTGAAACAACGTTCAAGTTAAAGAAATTTGAAAACCATCATTTAAATCGCATTATGATAGATGTCAATTGGGGTAGTTACATGAGACCAAATCAATGCATAGTACCTATTTGTATTGTCATGGTTAATTAGATTGTGTTACATAGATAATCAACGGGGCCGCAATTTATAGACAAACCAATCAGACCTAAGATAGCGAGGCCTAGATTTTGTTGCGGAATTCATTTATTCATATGGACAAAAACATTTTACATTACGGGGTTGTGAAGATTGTTAAGTTACACATTTTTTGAAACCATGAATCGATCAATGTTAGACCACCATTAGAAACCTGGAAGCACTGGACGGCCGTTTTGTCCAGGTTTCTAATGGTGGTCTAACATTGATCGATTCATGGTTTCAAAAAATGAATAACATTTTAGCATAACAAGTTCGTGATGAAAAATCCAATGGAAACTCCTTACCCTAACTTCTAATTCTTCATTTTAATTAAATCATAATCCTTCTAAAGCAGTAAACTTTCTCAAGGTCACTGCTTTCGATCATCGTATTGTGAGTACTTATTTTTGTACATACTAACGCTTGACAAGACCCTACAAACGTTATTCATTTGGTTTCTTTGTTCCAAGCCATATTTAACAGCAGGGACCAAACTTGACGAATAGCCATCGTATTTGTTTGGTTTCATATGATATGAGTCATCCTAGAGTTGACAACTATATAGTGCGGTATTTAGTAAATTATGTGCACATGACTCACCCAGTGTCTACAATTTTTATATTTTGTGTGACACATGCATCATAGATATCTCTAACCCATGAAAACGGTTGATAGATGCACTTTGGCTGATTAATCATAATACTGACAGCAATTCACACTTGCAAAAATGGTTGCGTTTTTCACTAATTTTGTTATGATCCAGTGTTATTTTGAGAAGTCTCTCTGATTAAAATCAGTGTAATTGCATGTAAATGTATTTTTTAGATGAAGCCAGATTAGCCATGAAAACAAAAATTGTATACACCTTATTTATGTTGTGTTTTTCCTTCATCTGCCTACTATCATATATCTAACATAACATGAAATAGTTGATATAGATACGATTGAAAGCAGTTAAAGAGAAACCATGAAATAAAATGAATTCATATTGTTATAATGTTAGTCAAATTCATAAAGGTATCTAATTCTACTAGATTTGCTTCTGTTAGTTTGGATTTAAATTTTGACCTCACGAAGTTCAATGATGAGACTGCTTGATTACCTATGTAATTTGACTGAATGTGAATGTTTTCAAATTGTGAAAATCATCCTGTCAATAACAAATAGAATTCATTCATTGCTCCATACATGTAGCGTTTATTCAGACTGTTGTCTACTTACAGGTTTGTTTGATTGTGTTCCAAGTATTTGTTCATGTTATCATGGTGTTTATCGTTTGTTTGATTATTCTCATATCTTAGTGTTTGACTACCGATTTATGATTTTTGCTTACTATGATTACTTGTGTAATTCATTTCATTTTTGTCAATGACTAACAAATCCCCTTAGTTGATTTATTACTTTTCTTAAATGTTTTATACATGAAGCTTTTGTTATTCTTTTGAACAACATCAGTGCAAGCCTCATATAGAAAAGTAAGCTATTCGTTTATTTATCCACATATAGCCGACGGTGTATTCTGTCTATTTTGTTAGATTTTTTGTAATCTATCATTTGTTGTTCAAAAAGACAATAGAAACCTTACGTTTAAACTATTCAACTGAGAATGAAATATCACCATGAAATCATTCATTTACCTAACACAAGTTATCCGAATAATTATTGTAAACTAACAAGAGTTAATTAGTTTACATGAAGAAAAAAAAACATACTAAATGCTAAATTAAATCTTTTAAATGTATTTTCTTTATTTTCAACACAGTACCGTTAAAGAGTTATCGAGAAAAGAAAATGATTGTATTTCATCTCAAGGATCTCAAAAGAGCACAAGTTCAACTTCATCTACAGCTGATAAGGTTAGTTATGTTTTGTAGAATACAATTTGGTTTTATCATTGATTACTTTTGTATTGGTAATATTAGTGTTCAAAGTTTTCGAAGGCGATTTTTCTTCGCAATATTTATGTTCATTTTTCGATAATAATAACAATTACATTTTCATTCAGCATACGTCATGGGTAAAAAACAATTCGGATAATTAGTATTTGAGACTAAATTATTTTATTCACCAGTAAGCTAGCTATATTTTAAATTCGTATTAAGCTATAAACTTTTATTAGAATTTCAAAGTTTGTTATTTATAAATAGATAAATAACCGTAGAAGAAAAGATTTACACTTCGTCTATTCACTATACGATGTTATGTAATATTTCTATAGGTCATTCTTTGCAGGCAATCGTTTGCTTTTTGGAGGTTTCTGTTGTTTAGGATTTACTCTCAGGAGGTTTAGTCTTATAGTTAGAATTTCATAATGTATACAATTATTTACTTTCTCGATGTATGTCAAATACATTTGACAATATCTAGATCATATATGATTCAAAATTGCGGACACGGTAAATTGAAGTTTATTCAAAATAAATACAAAACCAAGAACCTTTATGTCGCAAACAGGTTCAAAATGTTACTAAAAGTTACACTTATATCCGTGAGCTTCTTGTTAGAACAGATTACAGATCATAATAAAGGCTGGCGAACAGACAAAATATTATATCAGTGAATTAGGCAGCTAGGGCAAGAGGTCTCATATGATCAGAATGTAAACTGCTGAACAAACATGACCAAATTATACAACCGTCTAGGTCATTTATACGAAGTAGGAAATGTAATCAATTATTAGTCAAATGAAACAACTATGAGTAAAGGATTAAATTGGTGTCAATGATTTATGAAGACTTAGGGGGTGACAGATGGAATTTATGAGAATAGCATACTTATACAGAATCTATGTTTATTAGTAAGGTAAAGCTTATTTAACATGTTTCACAGTTTCAAGTCTTAATTAATAATAATAGATGTTTAGTTAATTATTAACTAGTAGTATCTGTTAAAAATATCGAATTAGAATTTATAATTATTGTTAAAGTAGTACTTTTATTTCTGTCACTTCACCTCATCTAGATTGATCCTGATTATTCATCATATAGTCTCAATCAATTCTAGTGTACACATACAATTATGCGTGATTTTAGTTAGTTTTGCAAACAATTCTAAATTCGTATTCTGTATTTATAGAACGCTGTAAGCTTCGCATTATGACTAATAGGTGGAGAATGTATTGGAAATCATTTTTGTTCATGTATTTCTGTTCCCTGTTCATATCACGTCAAATCACTCCCCCTCCCCATAATAGTATAGTCCTTTTGATTCGCATTGGCATTGTTGTAGTGTTGTTACAAGGGTTTGGAGGTCATATGTTTGGGACTATAGATTTGTATTTAAGATTTTTTGCACTTTACATCATTTTACCAATTTAGGCCGGTGACGTAACCCATGATAACATATTTTTTAAAGTTTATTATTATTATTATGACTTGGCCCGAATAGTCATTTTGTAGCAAAGGTGAAATTAAATGAGCAGTAAAGAAGTTAAAATCATACCGATTATATGAATAATATTGCGAAATTTTGGTTTTACCGCCCCTAGCTTACTTTCAACCTACCCCGACATCAGACAACATTGCTCATCAAAGTAGTCATTGGTTAGGCATACGCAACACATGTCTCAACCAACTTCACCGTCTAATACGTTATTAATGAGCTGTTCGAGTCTCTGTCGACCTGTACGACAGATGATCTCATGGGAAGTATCAGTTATTTGAAAACTGCAAGTACGTCTTGCTGATGAGTGCTATGAAACTTAGTTCAAGACATGTCAACTGTTTCTGACTACCTAAATTCTAAGCACCGTGCACATGTTGTTTATCTGCCTAGAGTGGTGACGATACTGCAACTCAACAGATAGAATTCAATTAGCACTAAGGTCTAGACAAATATAATATTTGTTACTATTTAACAGTTATTTAGTTTCCAGTGTAACCCATAAGTTCTCTTTTTTGATGACCATGTGACCTTGAGACTCTAATGTCTGGAAAGTAAAAGTACATCGGTCTTACTGATTAAATCTTATGATTCCCAGTGCTAAAGGTTGTCATGACCATAAGGGAAATTGAACGAAATGATACTATATTTATTAGTAGTACTTAGGTTAATACCATAATTTATGGTCAGATTTAAAGTTAGGTTTAGGAATTCAAAACCAGCTACAATGTCGAAATGCTATTTGGATATCTTGGAAAATGAAGTTAGCGTAAAAAATCATTCAGCTACTACATCAATACTGATTGGTTCATAGATGATAGTCTTGGTGTTATATACAAGATGTTGATCCGTAATCAAAATTTGAAGATAATGTTAATAAATGAGTTGCAGTTAACTATAAATTAACTAAACTATCCTAGGGTCTTAATATCTACAAATGAATAAATATTCTTATTATTGTTATGGGTAGAGTATGCCTTATTAGACTGGAGATAGAATACATCATAAAAGTTAGAATAAATACGAGTACCATATATATTACTACTCATACTAAAATGGTAGCAACTATTAGACAACGAACATTTCATCCAGTTAGATATGACTGAATCATTGTGATACTTAAATCATGATCATGGTAGACTGGACACTTTCATTCGATAACTTTCTTAATCTATCATTTATTAACCTCACCAGCCAACTTATATTCAGTTTGTAATGATGATATTTTACAAAGTTACTAGCAAATTTACATTTATCCTACTAAAAGCAAACAGTCTTTTTCAGTTACTATCGTTTCTAAAATGGTTGCTTATGATTAAGGTCAGACAAATGTTTCTAGAGCTTTATAATTGCACTACCGAAAACACTATCTGATTCATAGGTTAGATTTAACAGAGGGTTAGATCTTGTTATTTCAAGTTATCTGAAGATAAGATCGCTTTAGGAGTGTTAATCTTTCCTATGCAGTTGTTTCGGATTTCAGCATGCACAGATTTAAAATGATGTGCATCCACCTAAAAAGGTAGGTTCTGCTTCATACAGTAGAACTTTTTTGACGCTGGATTGAAAATTGTGACTTTGGTGATAGTTTTATCGAGTTGTAGAAATTGTGGAAGTACCGTTCGATTCCTATTAGTCTTCGATCAAGGTGCCAACCACTGGGAGACGATTTTATTCACAAGTTCCTTAGATTCTAGTGTTTTTTGGGATCTTGTATATAGGCTCTTTAACTAAATTCAATTTACCAGTGATCACCCTTCCAGTAAATTGACAGTTGGAAAGCATAAAATACCTCACGTTCATCAATAAAGTAAGTAAATGGTCTATACGTAATAACTGTAGTGACTCAGTGTGCGTTTCCATTGCACATAACATGTAATTTCGCTTCTAAGTACTTTTAAAAATACTCAATGATAATTTTAATTTTTACTTTTTTTCTTCATTTTCTGTTTGTAGTCTATTGGTACGGATAACTGAATACAGATACAATGGTGAATGGAATTCATTTATACCTCATCCGGTGAAACATGACTTGCCATAACTATGACAATCAGTATTATTTTCTTATAGTAGTTCCTATAAAACTTATTTTGTTTAAGTGACTTTATTTTATTTTAATGCTTCTTTTGGTCATCTTTTTTATTACTGAAAATAGCATTATCATGATTATCACAAAATAAATCACTAGATTGGTGAATTTCATCTACACTTTTGTAAAGTAGTTTATCAATTTTCAATCAAATAATGTGATCTGTATTATCTTATCTAGTTATATTACAAAAGTTTGTTTTAACTCGTTTTGTTTTGTATATTGTTTGCAACTTGAAAGTGAGTAGCATTTATGACAGTGAATAAAAACTTCAGTTTTTTTACATTTGATCTTTGTTTTGTTAAATGAAATAAAACTGACTGTTGAATAGGAATTTAGATTATGAAGAGATAAGTCCACGATCATAATAATAATAATAATAATAAAGTTGTTGAATGATTTGTGCTCAATAATTTTCAGCTGTTTATGTGTTCATTAATAGCTTTAATTGTTAATAAAAAATATTGATACCATTTTATAATGAAGTTTCGTTTTCTAAGCTAGGTCACCTAGTTGTGTAGTTTTCTGTCGTTCTTTTGAACATTATCATCGGTACAAATTTCAGGTGGAGGCAGAGGGTGGTGCAATTAATTTTATGAATGACACTATCATAACTACAATAGCGTCTGTCATTCGATGTTAAACATCATAACTTTTGATTAAGATATACAACTGTACAAAGTCAAATCGTTATCATAACTAACACTGAAATAGTTCCCATTGAAAAGATAGATATCTGGAAGTGAGGATAATCCTTGTTCAATGAAATAATTCGAATTGACCTATTTGTCTTTGTATATTTTTGTAAACTAGTTCTGTATTTCTCACAGAATGCTTGTCACCTAACATGCACATGTATTTCTACATTGTATATTTTACATTTTATGGTTTATGATGTTATTCAGTAAACAAATGTTAATATGTTCTGTTCCAGTAGCATGCGTGCTCAGTGAATGTAGATTTGACCTATGGGTTTATTGTAATGGTTGATGCATTTATAGGTAAGTAAATGGAAATCTGTACTTAGGATATGTTACGAACGACTTTGATCAGGTTATAACTCAGTGCAACAGCACAGAATAAGTAGGTACTCATAAACCTTTACCTCATGGCAGAATGAGTAACGATTCTCTACACTAGACTTCAACGTTGCCACATTATTGATTACTAATTCCAAACTATTATTAAATATTGAGGCACAGTTTTGGAGGTTTGCGTTTTTACACATTTGAAATCATTAATCAATCATCATTGTTAGACCACCATTAGAAACCTGGAAGCACTGGACGGCCGTTTCGTCCAAGTATGGGACTCCTCAGCAGTGCGCATCCACGACTCCTGCTCCTCGCAGGATTCAAACCCGGGACCTTTGGCATTGTAGGCGAACGCCTTACCATCGGACCACTGGGCCGGCATCCAACGGTGTTAATGTCTAACTCTGATTGATCTAGGGATTTTGAATTTCTGTATGAACTTCATAATTTTATTACACAAACCATATTTTTGTTGATAAGATTTCGTTTAGAAAGCTTTTCACTGCCATTTTCAATTTCAGTTTGGTTAACTTCTAAGAAAACTGGTTTACCAATATCAAGATGATTATATCTCTAATACCTTATTTCAGTTTTTTGGAAACACTTTATACAGATTATATCTTCAAGTAGAAAGGGCATGGAATCCAAAATAAAGGGATTTTTAAATTGATTGCCTCAGGTTCATGATAAAGATGAATGTATGTTCAATCGAAATAGAACAGTTTCTTCAAATGTTGACTTCCTTTCAGTTCTTGAATTTTTTCTTGATGGCTGTTGAAATTTTGTGTACTTTGAGGATTAAAAGTTATTTATATGAAGTATATTGTAAATTAATAATCTATCTAAAATATTTGCCTCAGCAATACTCCGACGCCTGACTAGAGCTCGTGAAGAACAGACTAGAGAAAACCAGTCTCTTTTTCGACATGGACGTGGATGGATAGACCACATATGCACACTAAGTCAGGTCCTAGAAAATAGACAAACATTTTGATGTCCCACTACAGTTGTATTCCTTGACCTTAAAGCGGCATTTGATTCTGTCGATCGTGAGGTTCTTTGGCAGTATATGTTATTAAAAAATGTACCGGGAAAGTACACAAACCTTATACAGGCTCCTTACTTAAACACTACAGGTCGAGATAGAGCTTATGGCGAACTATCATTGGAATTCTTTACTTCAGGTGTTGTCCGTCAGGAATGTCCACCTTCCCCATTCTTGTTCAATTTTGTCTTAGACATGCTGGTAGATATAACATTATCTTCGTCTGAATTTTAAGGAGTAGGCCTACCAGGAGGCTCGCTTGTTGACTTACTATATGCCAATGACATAGTTCTATTTGGTGAAGACGCTGACAAAATGCACTCTTCTGATCACCCTAAGCGACAATACAAGCATGTTCGGGATGCGGTTTTCCCCCTCGAAATGCAAAATGTTGCTTCAAGATTGGGTTGCATCGGGACCTGAACTAGTGATAGGGAGTGAAGTAGTCAAGCGTGTAGACCGCTTCACTTATCTTGGGAGTCTCATCAGCGCTGATTGCCTGGTGACTGACGAAATCTCAGCACGGATACAGAAGGCTCGATTGGCTTTTGCCAAGTTGCGTCGCCTATGGCGAAGGTGAGATATCCGTTTGCTGACTAAAGGACGAGTGTACTGCGCAGTAGTTCGCTCCGTCGTACTATATGGCAGTGAAGCATGGCCAGTGAGAGTAGAAGATGTTCATAGGTTACTGGTTTACGATCATATGTGTCTCCGAAGCATTGCTCGAGTATCGTGGGACGGCCGAGTAGGCGATGTTGTCGTTAGGTAGGAGTGGCAGGTTAGTGTACGAAGTATTGAAACTTCATCATTTGAGGTGGTTGGGACATATGTTACTGTTAGGACATTCATCCGATATCCTAAGAGAATTATTTCTAAGTCTAATCCTACTGATCAGTTCCTATTGGTCGTCCTAACTATCAGTGTCACATGCTTCAATGTTGTTTCCTATTCGACCTAACTATAAATATGCATTATCTGTGACGTTTTTTGATACGGACCCTTATCTCCTTCTGGTCTCGGACCTCGCACTTTCTGGATGTTGTAGAATACACGTCCTACATCATATCAACTTTTCTTCTACTTCATGGGGGTTTGGGACGTTCGGCCTAGAGTAGTCTATCGTTTCGCGGGGTCGTCGATCCTCGCTCTCGTTTACTGACTAAGGTGAACTCGTAATAGTTCAAGCATATTAATTGATATGATGACGTGCGTTCGTAACAGTTACGTATACCCAACCGCCGACTGCCTCGACGACCGAAGTTTTTTGGTGTAGGATTTGGTTAGAAGAAAGCTAGAAGCAACCAAAGCAAAACATGGCAGAATTCCATGAAGTCACTGATAAATGTACTGAGTCATGTAGGTAATTGTAGACTATCTGGTTGGGGTCCGCGAGGCGATAGTAACCGATGTTCAGAGACCTTGAACGACATGGCTCAAAACCGTTTGCTATGACGCAGATGCATCCATTCTTTGTGCTCTCTCAAAACCTAATCTGATTTCTTCATCACATCTATCTTCCTTTTTCTAAGTTTATCTCACTGAATTATACTTCTTGAATAATGTCTCCGAACCCTAATCTTCTTTACTACCGCTAATACTCCTACTATCTCTACCACCATGGGATCTGAAGTGACAATTGGTGCTAATTTGGTATGGCAACGTGAACTGGTGTACACATGTACGTATGAAGTTCTACGTTGTAACTGACTGACTGACTTCTCTCTTTCATTCAGTATAATCATTGCTCAGAATAATATTCGTTTATTTTCAGTTTAAAACTTTGTTCAGGATAACACTGATCTATACTTAATCATGGAGTTTATTCAGTAGAATATTCTTTGCATTAATTAAGGTTAGAACGTGCATTATATTTGTTTTTTGTGTGTTTATTAATTCCTCATCTTGCGCGTGTTACATTCAACATAAAAATGATTCTATTGTTATTAAAATCATGGAGTGTTTTGTGGGGTTGAAATAAGTCTTCTGTGCACACTGTGTTCTTTTATCACATTGCGGAAAATGAAGCTTTTGTCTTCAGCAAGTATTTGATATAATGGGACAAGTAAAAAGATCATTTTTAATATTAATCGAAAATGTCATACAGGACAAATACATACCATTGGTCAAAAAAGTGATTCGTTTTCTTGTGGAAGGAGCGTACACATATATTCTTAAATTGGTATTTATGTATATGTATATATCTTCGCTTCAACTCTTACCTTCTCGCTCAGGTAGTCACTTTAGTGGATTAGGGTGTATCACGTCCACATCTCGGATGTTGCACAGTATAACAGTATTGCATTAAATCTCGCTATTATAATATAATAATCTAGCAGTTTGGGAAAGAATGCTAAGATATAGGTAGTTTGTAGATGAGTCACAACTATCCAGTCGATGAATATAAAGAACAGAGTAATTTGATCTTATAACTAACATCACACACGAATTTTAGTTAAACAACTATTGAAAACCAGAAACCACCAGACATCTCTTTTGTGCCAGTATGGAATTCCTCAGCAGAGTTTCAATATTTGATTTTGTTTGTAATTCATGAGAAAAGATACTTGACATATATATTTTTCATCATTGTCTAAAATCAACTAAAGAAACAAAATATAAGCTAATTTTATATTTAAAAATCACTTCAGACTGTTCACCTTAAAAGATTATCTGTAAGAAATAATAAAAATATTGTTCGTCAAATTATTAATATGCTTCAAATCTAAACATAGTTTATATTTTGATCCTTAAAAAGTAAGTTAGTAATAGTTTTCCAATTACAAAGTGCCTTTAACTTGAAAAAGGCTGGTTTATAAATTAGGAATAATAAATGCAAAACCAAATAAATAACTTATTCCTCTATTAAAATAATCTGAATAAGTAAAAATGTCATGGAAAACAATAAATAAACATTTCAATAATAACAGTTATTTACAAAAATGATTCCGAAGAAAAAACTAACATTTAATTTCATTGGAAAACTGTTTAAAACCGGTTCTTCATTTTGAATTCTCCACTTACATAGTAATTCGATCCGGTATTCCGATTAATTCATCAATCATATTCTTTATGTTTGAACTTGTTAGTGTTAATGTTGTTTGTTCTCTAGATATCATCGGTTCATTATGATTTTAATGCATACATTGTGAATCATTTTATATGTATGAGAGAATTTAGTAAATTTATTGGAATAAATGGAATATTGAGCATTTTTAAAAAATTTGTTTATGTATCACTAAGTTTGTAATGTTTAATGTCAGAAGTCGTATTCATATTAAATTATTCAGCATTATTTAAAATTCATTATGTACATAGCATGAAATGATCAAAACTAGTAAAAAAATATAAATAGTTATATACATAAAACGTTGAGTAATAAATTGTTGATATGTTATATGGAAGATATGTATGAATAAGATTAAGATTTTTTAACTGGGAAAGTTGTTATTGAAGTAAAGATCAATTAAAAATGTCTTACCGTCGTGATAGTTACAACCATTATTAGTAGTATTACCATGTTTTCATGTAATGTCAGTTGATTACGTAAATCTAGGTTTTGTATATGAAGTTCTCAACAAAGGGATGAATTACTTTATTCAATTTTTTACTAAAATTATCAGTTAGTAAATGAAATAAAAGTAAATTCATTGAGAAAGTATGAAAATTAGTCATTGGATTGAACTGCTGTTATCAGTATCATTATCTTGATAACTGAGAGAATTAACTGGTTGAGATAGTGGTGTTATTGGATAACAGTGTAGTTTTATTTCATTGATTTTTTTGTTCAACTGGATTTTTGATCTGTAAATTCTGCCGAATCATCATTGTTCGATCCATACAATTTTCATTATTGATATTTTGTTCAGTTCCAAATAACCTTTTAATTGACAAGTGAAGAGTAACCTAGTTTTGTTGTAGATAGATGTTTCCATGTCTAAGTTGTAGAGTGTTTATGATCAGCTTTTAATTCATTAAAATAAGGAAGCCTTACTGCCATCACTGTCATTATTATCTTCGATGTCTTCAACATTTAAAGACATGAGGTTGTAGCTTGATTGAACTGTTCTATTATTGTTATTATTATCACTATTATTTGTATTTTCAGTTGATGTCATAATATTTGAAAGTTGAATATTTTCTTCATTCCACTTGATCTGTAGTGATTTTTTTAGATATGGAAAATTGGCTAATGATCTGCCTCTTGGTATACTCATCAATTGTTTACTATTTTTAAATGTCATACTTCGTCTTATAAGGTTAGTAATAGTAATAAGATTATTCATATTTGTTGTTTTCGGATAATTTTTGGAAAGATTTCTAAAAAGTGTATTCTTGAATTTAGATTTTATTTTATCGCTTAAATATGGAAGATATGATATTGTATTTCTTTTAGCGTAATTATTACTAGCATTATATCTATTGATACTATTGTTTGTTTTGTCAATATTCTCAATATCACTATCCTTTTCGTCATAATTCGTAGTATTCATATCATTGCTGCTACAACTAGTATTAATGGATATATCATTGGTTTTACTGTTTGCAGCATTATCATTCTTATTGTCATTATCATCATCAATAGTAATGTTGTCACAGATAGAATAGTAATCTTGAACATTTAATGATTTGTTATATAAATGTGGTTTATAAAAATGTAACGCCGAATGGATTAAACACGTCACATCTATATCAGTTGGATAGTTCATTAATAGTGTTAAACATTCTGTAAACTCATATTTTATTAATGATGGTGCTAAACGCAACAGCATACTTAAATACATATAAGGAACAAATGCTAAATTATTATTTATGGCAAATATGCAATCCCAGATATATAATAAATCTTGCAAGGGGAATTCATGACCAAATAATAAACGTATCCATTTTAAACCAAATAGTTTTGGTGATATTTCCAATCTTCTTAAATGGGCATATAATAATGGGTTGTGTCTCAGTAATAATTGTTGATGTATTTGTTCTACAAAACAATCACCTGAACAATTATGCTTAACATGTTCTTCTTGATCAAAATGGAATGTGTATTGATTTCCATAGTCACATTGTTTTGATTCATCTTTATTCTGTTCATATTTTTCTATGACTTCCCAACTGTTATTTTCTATTTCTTCATGATCCGTTCCACTGGATTCATCACTATCATCACCATAGTAAATTTTAAAATATTTACAATCATTACGATTTTTATTATTTGTAATATTCTTTTGCATCTTATTGGTAACCATCAATTGGGTTTGTCCTTGACTATTAGAGTTTGAATTTTGCTGTTTGTTTGAACTTGTTTGTGATTTTAAAGCTGTTATTGTTGTCGGTAATCCTATAACTGTACGTCTTCTGATTCTTTTGTCATTATTATTATTAATATTAATATTATTTGATAATTTTATTTGAGGATACCAATTTTTTACGGAATTCATAATTTTTGCAAACATTATGTAAACATCAGCTTGAAAATATTCTTTATTCATAATATATTTTAAATGATTCCATAAATCAGATGATATAATTTTCATTTCTACAACATGTTCAAATGCAGTTAGATCACAATGTAAAACAAATAATAAAGGTGCTAAAATTTCATGCATACCTTGTTGATAAGATATATTTTCATTTTCTGTATAAATATATAGTAAATCAATCATAATATTATGGATATTTTGATTATGAAAATATTCCACATTTGGAAATGTTCTACAAACATCTTTTGCTATAGAACGTTTTACTTTTAATGAATAAAAATATTTATTCCATAAACTTGTCCTACTATCTGATAATGGATGATCATCTGATTTGATATAATTCGTATGTGGATTAATATTAATTTGACAATTTAACATTGTAAAATATTCTCTATCTTTTTTTAATTGTTTTGACCATTGATTGATATCATTTGGTAAAATATCAAGAAATATACGCCAACAAATACTTCGAAAATGGCTAACACGTAATTGTCCATCAATAGCATAATTGATTAAACGTGATAATAAATGATTGGAATTAGATATATTTGTGATAGGATTAATAATAGGTTGTACATTTATCCAATTTTCAACATAATCTATTTTCATCATGACATCTTCGTTAGATGTTATTGTGTTGGTGAATAAACGATCGAATTCTTTATTGTAAGAATTTGTCCAATCTATATCACTGAATGTACTTCTCAGTTGATGATGATTAGGCTTTTTCACATTTTTCTTGACATATCTTCTTATGATTTTTTGTGATGATAATGACAATGGTTCATTTATTTCTGATGATACTTTTGATCTTGATAATAGAGAAGATGAGTACTTTTGCTTGTACAATGAAAATTCAACACATTCTTCCGAAATATCATCACTCTGTAATTCATTTGAAAATGACATTTTACCATATATGATAGTAAAGAGAATTTCATTTATCGTTTGATATAAATGAAATATCTGTAAGTTAAATAACAATAAATCTGGATAAAATTTACCGAAAGAACTTCATAATTACTATATTTTGAAGATTTTTAATGTGAAGCATAACTAGAGTTTACTATTTGTTGTTCGTTATGAAGAATTACTTAGTGAAATAATTGATCTTAAAGGATGGGTTAAATGAACCATAATTAAGGCTCTCTCAATTAAGTAATAATCTCTTTCTTTACGTTGAAAAAGTTCAATAATATCAGCCTACAAATTACATTCTGATTAATATAATTTAAAAAAGGTTGCAAGACTAATTCACTAGCAAATATCTTGGAGTTATATGCCATTACACGTGAGATTTAGTTCTTACAAGAAAGTTTGTCAATCCTAGAACATGATTATTTTCATTATCAACCACAAAATGCGCATTATTGAACAAAACTCATTATATTATGCGCTACTAAAATATTGATGTTATTGTTGTCATAAAATTGAGCGAATATAACAACAAATAGTTTGAAGTTATATAAAATCAGCACCTGGTATAAATATGATCAGGACTAAAATAACAATTACCCGACAGAAAACATTAAATCTGAAGAATTTTAACTGCGTCGTCATCACATTTATTACATTTATTTACTGGCACACTTCAAAATTTGGTATCTAAGTGAATTTCAAGGGATTTAATACACGAATGATGTGATGAAATAATTTAATAGGTCTTCATGTGTGGTTCATATCTGTTAGAATTCAAATTGTGATTTACCATTTGAGTAGTACTACATGAAATATTGTCTCTAAAATAAGGTGCCAGTTGTAAGTTGAATATTCACAGAAGTTTCGGAATTGTGTTTTGTTGTATTTAACTTCTTCAGGTAAATGCTTCAGAAATTATCGTGTGCAATCATACTACTACTCATTGATAAGTAGTTCAATTTTTCTACATGAATTTTTGTTCTTAACCCTTCAACGAGAAAGATTGGTCTCAGCGAAGAGTTTTCTTTTCGGTGAATTCATTTTCAAAGCTGTATGATCCCAAATGTACACTTTTCCCACTGTGATAATTACAATATTATTGATAAGGAGAACTTTTATTAAACATGGTATTAGTGAGAAAAATTAGACAAAGGTACAAAAATGTTATTTCGACTAAGGGAATTAATGATAATGCTGTTGTTGAGGCTTTGAATACTCATCATGAAGACTGATAAAGAAATTATTACCGGAAAAGCTCTGTGTAAATTACTAATACAATGCATTTTTAACCTTTAATTTACACTCACTGACGTGATTTACAGACAAAGGAGCGGAATTGCTATATGATCCCCTCTCGGTCCACTGCTAGCAGATTGTTTCACAGCTAATCTGCAAAACAATCACCTACTGAGAGATTCCATTTCTCTTAAAGGGACGTTGACAATATCTTTATTGTTTGTTACAGTAAACATGGTTTGAACTATCTTGAAAAGATGTTTAATAACGTTCACACTGCGATAAATTTTATATTAGAGGTCGAAAACAAAATATTCACTTTCTTGATGTCGAAATGACGAGAAAACTCTACAAAGCTCTAGGAAGATCTATCTAAAGGAAACCGTCATCTTCAGGCCATTTGTAAAGCCTTCAAAGCTGGATCCTGATCAGTCTAAAACTAAACGTAATCATATCCCACGCTGCACAATTATGAAGAATTCGTAACCCACCTTTAGGAAATACCAAAAACGGATACCCACTAAGGTTTATTATTAAAGGTATGAAACATAAGCTTCTTAAAAAATTAATATCTTTCGTAGGAGAGAAAACTGTATGAACATCGGTACTGAAGGGATGAATTTCAGAGTTTGCTAACAAAACATTCTTCACAGCAACTTTGCTGCTAGTTTTCTCGGGCTGACCAATGTTCAACAATAATTTGAAGGACAAGTTATCGTATTTGACCAATTTTATAAGTCTTTATCAACTTATCTGTTCATGTTCAGCTAGATTTACAGGCCGTTCAACGCGTATTTTATCGAGAAGAATTCGAGATTATCCAGGTTCGTTAAAAAGAGGTGGAAGCGAGTAAATAAGTTTAATAATCGAATACTTCGTGATATAGGTCATCCGATCAAACCGATTCTGGATTTAAGTTCATCTATAAGGTGAGTATAAAGTTGCGAAAGACAGTTGGCTGCCGTCTTCTTAGCATTGCCGAAGTACTTGCTAACCATCTGAAAAACCAGAATTATATGTACAGAAGAAACTGGTACAACTGCTTCTTCCATCATGGTCTTAATTTCTCGTAAAAATACAACAAATTTCCTTTTCTTTATTCATAGCCATCTGCTCCCCCTCTATCTTTTTTTTTTCATAAACCTTTTATCCTCAACTAATTTTCTTCCTGTTTCTATGATTCTCTTGATTATAAGTTGATCTCAATTTGGAGGTTTTTGTCTGATCACACTTCGCCTTTCCGATAATAATTTCTTTATCAGTCTTCATGATGAATATTCAAAGCCTCAACAACAGGATTATCATCAGTTCCCTTAGTCGAAATAACATTTTTGTACCTTTGTCTAATTTTTCTCACTAATACCATGTTTAATAAAAGTTCTCCTTATCAATAATATTGTAATTATCACAGTGGGAAAAGTGTACATTTGGGATCATACAGGTTTGAAAATGAATTCACCGAAAAGAAAACTCTTCGCTGAGACCAATCTTTTTTGTATTGTCTCAGTGGGTGTATTCCGTTTATCTAAGCATTCAGACTGTCAGTTAATATAAAATGTGATTTCGAGTTCAGTTATTTTAATAGGATGGAACTTTCTAGCAGAGAACTTCCATCTTCAAAATTGTGACAAGGCTCATAAGTTAAAGATAAGACTACGATTGCGAAATGTATGAATAGCTAAAAAGTGCACACTGATTTTTTGTATAGTGTAATGAGGAGACGAAGATCGTCAGAACCATGTGATAATTAGCGCGATACATTTCGAATACTAGGATCAAATACTTGTTAAATATACATAACATAGTTCTGATAATCTTTATCTTCTCATTACATTGTCCAAATTTATCCAAAAGACTAATTACTTTAAATTTTTGAAAACATTACAATCATTTCTAAGTCAGTGATTATAAATATTTAGGCATTATAATATACTGGTTATGAGAAAAAACCCGTTACTATATTAATGAAAATAGTCCAGATAGAAGGTGAAAAAAAAATCATAAAATATATTTATTACTGAGACCAACAGCGAGTATGTAGATAAGTTCAGTTTGTGTTTATTTTGTAATTTAACAAGGACAAAGAAATTGGTTGAAAATGCAGGAAAGTAAACGTTATTATCAAGTCTTTTGTGTATAAGTTATTATTAGGGTAGTTATTATTAAGGTTTTTATTTTTTTGTTAATTTTATTACAAATAACTTCATTTCCATGGAAGACATTAGTGACTGTTTGAACTTTGAGATGATAGGTAAATAGGCTTGCATTTTATGTGAATATCAACACTCGGATGTAGAGATATGAAATTGACGAGTCTCAAATAAGACATAAAGCGTGTCCTGGGTTTAATCACTACCCACAATAAAACTTTAAACGAAGTCTTGGGCAGCTTACTTAAATATATGCACTTGCAATTATGTTCATGATAAAAAAGTGAAGGTGGTTGAGACAACTCGATTTGACACAGTAAGTTTTGATTAACCATAGTTGACAAGCAGTAACAAACTGTACATGAGAATTAGATGGATCCAGTATGTTAGTAACACTTTAATATTTCAATGTCTATAAACGGTAAATAACTTGAGCATGTCTTTGCTGCGTCACAACGAAAAATTGCTAGAGAATAACAATAATGGATTGGTTAGTAGGTTGGTATTTTTATAACTGGCTGAATTCATATTTCAATCATTACTGTAATTGAGCCCAACTCTTATTGATCTTGTTTATCCTATATATGTATTCAAGTAGCATTTATTGCTTCACTTTCATCATTTTGTAATTCTAGGGTTATTGTGGTTTTGTATAGAAAATCGATTAACTAGGTGATAATTAGTATGATTACATTGATTGATACTTATGACATACACCTTATTAATAATTTTCATTGCAGATCTGAGAAAAAAGATTATATATTGAGTCTATTCGAGGTTAACTGATGATGTTTAAGTAAAATGACAATTTAGCGAATATTTACATACATCATATAAACTGAATAGATAATACTCACGTTTATTGAAAATGTGAATATTGATTTCCACCTACCATTAATCAGATGACTGAGAGTTAGACATAATGTTTCTATTAGAAATAAACTTGATTTAAAAAGATCATGCTATTTTTTTTAATGTATTGATTACTGCTTAGAAAAGAACACGTGGTTTTTATTTTGTGCATATTTGTGTTCATGTTTGGTTATATGCAAAATGAGGTGAGGAAGTAAGGAGCCATTTAAAAAACCTTGCTTAATTTTTTATTTCTGCAAAAATGTAATTTGTTTTAAAATATTAGGTTTGGAGAAAGCAAGATCTATGGATTTCCACCATTTTTCTCTGGTCGACTTTAACTTTTGTCCGTAGGATGGCTAGCATTTTTGTCTAGTAAGTATAAAAGTTTGGTTAACTAATCATATTGTGTACCGAATATGCGCAATAGAAATATTTACACAGTTAACAAATGCACGATTTTAATCACGTGACTAAATTGCATATCAATAATGAAGTGTAGTTATCGTTATAGTCGAAAGATTATTAGCCTCGTGGTTAATACATAAGTGATGATATTATCAACAGGACGACCTAATCTGACTAATGTACATACGACTTTTCTCTTTCTATTTTACAACTTAAAATATCAAACAATTTACGTAATTTTAAAAAACGGGTTGGATGATTTTCGCAGGTTTCATGAATTGCACAGTACACTTCTAAATTTCTTCTAATTCAATAACTTACCTGTTGAAGATAAATCAGTTACGA